GGAATGAGATTAGTAGAATTTACTACTATAACACTCAAAACTGTTTGTTTGTTTGTTTGTTTACTTATTCATTATTTACTTATAAATAAGCAGACTTATTTTCAAATGTCTATACTATTATTCTTAGCATTTTATACAAACAAATCACTTAATGTGTATAGAAATTATTTATTTTGTGTTTTTGCATTAATTTTATATGGATGCCAGGACAAATTACTTCACATTCTGTGGTTACCATAAACACGAATTTTCTCATTATGCTTCTGTATATGATGTGGTTATGATGTTTGTTAAGCCTGGAACCAAGTGCTTGTAGAACTATAGTCTTTACTGCAGTATCTAGGAAAGAATGGACAGATTTGATCCATCTGTTGCGTTCATTTCCTTACTGTGATAGTACTTGCCAAATGTAAGTCAATCCATTGGTGTTTCAAAAACTTTTCTCCACTATCCAAAGCAGCTGCTGTTGTCAAGTTCTGCCTATGCGTGAAATCTCCTGCTTTCCACACAGTTTCTTTCCTGCTTCATCTTCAGAAAAATGTCCCTGACCAATTTTGCTACTGCCATAGGAGACAGAAGGGGTTACAATGAGCCATCTGTGTTATATAGATATTTTATCCTCATTTTACTGGAAAAAAAAAAGACTTAATGCCATCTACAAAAACTGTTTCACATTGGTATCTAGGCAGGCATTTGATTGAATAGCCAGGCCTGTGAATCTTGGATGGACATATTTAGAAACATTCAGATCACATTATTATTCATATTTCATATAAAAACAAGCTAGATACTAAGTGCTTAAATATAAAACTGTTGTGAGGGGAGGCCAGGAAAAACAAGTCTATTAATCTGTATCTTGCCATGTGGCAGTGGTTTACCGGAGATTCTAACTGGCGTCTATCTCAGGCAGAGGATTCATGGCTTGTCTCACTCTGTCCTTTTTTCCCGCATTCAGTTTTGTTTTCTATATCTATCTAAGTTCCGTCCTATTAACTAGGCCAAAGCAGTTCCTTTATTCATTAACCAACGAAAGCAACACACAAACAGAAGGAACTCTTACACCATACAACAATGATATAAAGTTTAAAGTTGAGTAGCTGGATACTGTCAAAAGGATCTATGATAACTTCCATATTGTCATAAAGAATTGTGCCCATAAGTGTATATGGCAGTATAGCACCAGGCATTACAGGTATTTCAAAAGACAGCAGAAACCAGGAGACTTGTCATTATCAACCAATAGCAATTCCAGAGACATTATATACTTAAGTGTAAACATAGCATATAAAATGTACTAGAAAAGTCAATGAGTTTTTAACCTCCTCTTGGAAGGATGATCCTATAAGACACTAAGAGAAGCAATACAGCAGAAAAACTATCATCTACAATAGAGACATTATAATTTAAACCCAATTTTAAAGGGGGAAGATCTCTTTAAAGATTCAAATCACAGGTAAATCTCTTAGGACGTAGTATCTACATATTTTTTCCACTCACAGTATTCTCAAAAGCTTCCAAAAGACTTTACACTTAAAGGTGAAATATTATTCTAATTTCTTTTTTTCGAACAGCATGAAAGAATGGTTTCTACCTTCCTTGTATTACACTGTGAGAGGTCCTAGTTATCACAGCAAGTAAAACACGAGAAAGAAAATTTGCAATTCAGAAAGAAAGAGCCACTGTCATAACTTGCTGACAAGATAATTGTTTAAATACAGTGTTTAAGATAATATAATAGTGGCTTATGCACTTTTATCAAAATGAGAATTTGGCATTCATGAAGACAAAATTAAAATGAACAGTGGAAATCAAAATGTATATGAGGAATTATCAACAACGGGAGGTGCCAAGGTTTCTGGAATAAGACAAGAGTAATTTTGAAAATTAATTGCGTCTCTCAACACCAGCATAAACTGTCAGACAACATCACAGTTCAACAAGCAGATTTTTCTGTAGTCTGCAACTCGGGATAAAGGTATGAGAATGAGGAACGAGACAATTGTAAATGTCTCGGAGAAACGTTTAACCCAACTTGATTATATCTGAGATCTTTTTTCTAACTCAGATCTCTTATACTTAGACATTTTATGATATCACACCTGTAGCTGTTCCTCTTCTTGATGTATAATCTTTTTTGTTCTTACGTTATAACAATCTCTGTCCATGTATTAAATATCACCCTCTCTATTCTCCTCAAGGACATAATTCTAGGCATTCTATCCTGTCTTATGTACTCCCATATGTTCACATGTTTTTTTCTCTCTTTTCAACTGGTGTTTTTTTTGAGTTTAGAAATATGGTGTATTTCTCCCAGTCTGATTATGAAGCAAAACACAGACTTTGTCTTGAACACTATTTCATGGCTTCTATTTTGGCATTGTTTTGCTCCCATGTTGTGGCAACAGTCCTGAAATGGCTTTCCTATCCTCATCTGCTCTGCTAGTCTTCTTTAAATACAATCCAATTGGGCCTTGGTCCCACAGATCCTGTGCTCTTGACTTCCCTGATGTTAAATCAGCTCCTACTTGACTTAGCAGCGGCATTCCTCACCTTTGACTGTGCTGTGCTTTTCTTCCACAATCTCCAGCTTTTCCTGATTACTTTCATGCCTCACCTTTTACCCTTCCAGCATTTTACTTATCTCTGCTTTTTGAGGTGGGCCACACCATGCACAGAGCACATTCTTCCCTTTTTCTTTTCCTTTTGAGATCTCACTTATTCCTATTCTTTCTGCTAGCAATTCTGAAATTTGCATCTACAGCCAAATAGTTTTCCTGAAACACACACACATGCACACGCACAGGCATGCATGCAAACACACACACACACACACACACACACACACACGCACTTGCACCAAATAGTCACATGTCTAGTCAATTGTGCTTTTCTTGATACCTGAAAAACCTATCCAGAATACAAGCATATCTTTTTCTCTTTCTATTCACCTAAATCATTTTACATTGTTTCTCTTCTGATTTCTGTGATACGACATCTATCCTCATAACAATATAAGAGGACAGAGTCACCCTTTAAGGATAAAAATTTGATTAGGTGACTCCTCTCTTCAAAATCCTGCACAACTCCTCATTTTGCTCTGAGTGCATTATCAGAATTTTCTGTGATCCTGTCAGGTCCAAAGTGCTCTCATTGTCCCAAGATAAGCATCAACTCTTAAAGCTCTCTCTGTTCTCCCCTTTTCTACACAAGTTGCCATTTTTGTATTTCACCAAGGCAGCAGACAAGCAATTAAAAATTATAAAAATCATCAAGTAAAATTCTAACATATGGGCAAAGAAAATGACTAGTCGTTACAAAGGACAAAATACAACTGAACAATCAGTATAAGTTAAACAATGACTGATGGTACAGTCCTCAAAACCTTGAGGACTATTTTTAAAGAAGCCATGAATTATTATTGATATTATTAATACTCTTCAAATAATGATCCCTCACCATGTATAATATATGTGAAAATGATAGAAATCTATGTCCACAATTCTTTCCATAACAAAGTTTAACTCTCCTTTGTTACTTATTTTAATCAAATTTAGATCTTACATTAATCGTTAATTTGTAAATAAAATTAATATAAAGTATAATTTACAGTACAGAAACTAATAATGTTTTGAAAAACACTTAGGGAGTCATATTTTGAAATAAAATACAAAATAAATCTGTATATGCATGTGAGAAGTGATAGAAGTCTATTTCCATTAAAGACATTAAAATACATTTAGGATAATAATAAATTGCTATCTCCAAATAGTGGGGTTGGTTTTATTTCAACATGCATAAACCTTAATATTATATGTACATATGATAGGGATTTCAGAATCACAATATTTATCACTATAAAACTAGCACTACTAGGTGACTTTTCAGAAGTTGTTTCCATTGGTTCCTTGTTGTAGGAGGCTGTCATTTCCTGACTGCCCAGACTCCCAAAATAACCACACAGAAACTATATATTTAAATCACTGCTTGGCCAATTATTTAAGTGTAAGTGGGGCTACCAGGCAAGAAGTAGAGGGGGGGCAATGAGAACTGAAGAATTCTGGGAAGAAGAAAGAGTCAATTTGCTGTTGTCACCCAAACACAGAGAATATAAATAAGTGACTGCCTCGCCAGAAAAGGTACTAAGTCATGTGGCTAACACAGACAAGAATTATGGACTTATATAAGTTATAAGAGTTAATAAGAAGCCTGAGCTACTAAGCTAACCAGTTTATGATTAATGTAGACCTCTGTGTTTATTTGGGACTAAACGGCTGTGAGACCTGGTGGAACAGAAACATCTGTCAACAGTTCCTGAAATAGTTTGCCACTCATGTGCATGGCATTGCTGTTAATGCTTGATGACAGCAGTGAAGAAGACAGCTCTGTGTCACAGAACTTCAACGGTGATGGCTTCCATACCAAGGTTTCAGCTTTGCCCCGAGCTTACTTTCCTTCACTTCACTCTGTGTTTCAGAATATTTGATCACACTGTGACACTTCTAGACTGTGTTAATAAAGTTAACTTTGAATCAGAGGGTGGAGTCAGCTACTATCTGATTGTGACTAGTAATAGATAAGCCAGGAAAATGGATAAGAAAAACAGACACGATGGAGAAGAGAGATGTGTGGAGAGAAGAGGTGCTGGTTGGGTCTCTGGTAAGAAAGGGAAGGTTATCTGCTTTCTCATCCTCTGCTTTTTTGATTTATATAGTTTTACCCTAATATTTGACTCTTGATTTTTATTGGTAATAGAACAATTTAGAAAAATACAATAATTTTTGTAGTTTTGTTTTTTATTTTAATTATTATTATTATTATTATTATTATTATTATTATTATTATTATTTGGTGGAAGGGTTTCTTTGTGTAACACTCCTGACTGTCCTGGAATTCATTCAGCAGACCAGGCTGGCCTCAAACTCACAGAGATACACCTGCCTCTAACTCCTGAGTGTTGGAATTAAGGTCGTATGCCACCAACACCCTCTTGGCCATGAACTAAAAATATGGAATACTTCACAAGTTCGAGTGCTGTCTTTGTGCAAAAGCCATTCTAATCTTCTCCGTACTTTTTCAGTTTTAGTACATGTGCTGCCAAAGCTAGCATATTAGGCACCAAAGTATTGTGTTTTGCTAATTGTCCTATTGCCAACAAAAACTTGAGAGTCAAATATTGGGTGAAAGCCTTAAGATCAAAGAAGTAGAGGATGGGCAACCAGTCAACCTTCCATTTCTTACCAGAGACCCAGCCAGGACCTCTTCCCTCTACATGTCATTGATGGAAGAGACAGTAGGAATTCAAGTCCCTCCTTTCTCCATCCTGTCTTCCCTTTCCATATTGCTGGCTTCTCTATGGATAATTCCAGTCAACTAGTCATTGGCTCCACCCCCTGATTAAAAGTTAATTATATTAGCACCATCTAGGAATGTCAGAGTGCAATCAAATATCACACAATTGTTCTTCTTCTTCTTTAAAGTGATTTAGGTAAAGGTTGTAAAACATTAGGATTTTTTTATTTGTCTTCTGATAAAGTGTATAATTTCTGCCATAACTGAGCAAAAACCTCAAATTTATATATACAGTAAATAATTCAAATAATGCCTAATATATTTAAATAAAATATTTTTCTTTTATATTTTTTTCTGTAGGCAGCTGTCTACACTGTACATAAAGGCTGTAAAATCAATGCATCCTTTCCACTTTGTACAAAGAGACACTTTTCAAGCCATTACCTTTAACAATGTGCTTTGTCTTAGCATTAATTTTAATATTGTAATAATTCACTTGGCACCAGAATTTCATCTACCATCCAAATATTTCTAAGTATGTACAAACATTAATTAAGTAGCACAATATCTCTGCAAGGAAAACTATTATTACAATCCTGGAATTGAAGATCATTGAATAGGAAAATGTAATGATGGGAAACTCATTTTAAATTAATCAAAAGGGGAGGACATTGTCAGCTGGAACACTTTCAGTTCATGAATTTGCTCAAAAAAATGTTTAGGAATTAGTGGGGCCAAATTCTGAAATTAGACTCTAACTTTCAAATCATCGCTCAGTTCAGGATATAAAAAGTGAGAGATAAGCCCATCCCCAGCCTTCATCCAGGTACACCTTCCTTTCTTCCCCCCTTCCGTCTGGGGCCATAAGATCTCCCCAGAGCAGCTCCCTCACTGGGCCTGGGCTGTGGGCACAACCCGGCAGGGGCAGTTCCTGTGTTTTGATAGCCTGCCTGAGGACAGGTGGGCCCTGTGTCAGCTCAGCCACATTCCTGGCCAACAAGAGGCAGTGATCTTCTAGCAGACATCCATCAGAGGAAGAGGATTTCCCCAGCTCAGTTGCCTTGAGCACTGGGCCTGGGCTGTGAGTGCAACCCAGCAGGAGGGAGTGCCTGTGTTTCAATAGACTGCCTGAGGAAAGGTAGGCCTTCTGTCAGTGAAGTCCCTGCCCAACAAGGGAACCTGACCCGGTACCAGAAGATCCAATAGAGAGCATTTGAAGGAAGAGATGGGCAGAGGCCAAGGCAAGAACTCCTCCAACAATCTGAAAAACAACATGAAAACACCAGAACCCAACGAACCTACAATAGAAGGACTTGAATCTCTTAATCCAGAAGAAGTGGAAAAAAAGTGCCATTATGAAAGCAATAGAGTCCCTTAAACAGGATATGAATAACTCCCTTAAAGAATTTGATGAGAAGTACAAGAAAAAGTTTGAAGAACTGAGTAAAGAAATGGATGAGAAGTAAAACAAAAAGATAGAAGAAATGAGTAAATCCGTGAATGATATACTGGAAAACCAAGAAAAAACAATCAAACAGGTAACAGAAACAATTCAAGAATTGAAAACTGAAATGGAGGCAATGAAGAAAACACAAAACGAGGGCGGCTGAATATGGAAAATCTAGGTAAACGAACAGAGACTACAGAATCAAGCATAACCAATAGGATACAAGAGATGGAAGAACGAATCTCAGAGTCTGAAGATACCATAGAGAAAATAAATGCTCTGATCAAAGAAAACAGCAAATCCAACAAATTCTCATCACAAAACATTCAAGAAATCTGGGACACAATAAAAAAACCAAATCTAAGAATAATAGGGATTGAAGAAGGAGAACTGCAGATCAAAGGCCCAGAAAATATATTCAACAAAATTATAGAAGAAAACTTTCCCAAACTAAAGAATGATATTCCTATGAAGGTTCAAGAAGGATACAGAACACCGAATAGATTTGATCAAAAAAAAAATCCCCTCGCCATATAGTAATCAAAAGACAAAACATACAGATTAAAGAGAGAATATTAAGAGCTGCAAAGGAAAAAGGTCAAGTAACTTATAAAGGTAAACCTATCAGACTTACACCGGACTTCTCTATGGAAACCATGAAAGCTAGGAGGTCCTGGATAGAGGTACTGCAGAAACTAAGAGACCATGGATGCAAGCCCAGACTACTATACTCAGCCAAGCTATCATTCACTAACAATGGAGAAAACAAAATATTCCAGGATAAAAACAAATTTAAACAATTCGAAGCCACAAACCCAGCCTTACAAAAAGTAATAGAAGGAAAATCACAACCCAAGGAATCCAACAATGCCAACACTGCCTACAATAACTAAGACATCTAGTGACCCTTCATAAGCTTAACTCAAAGAAGGGACACATAAAACTCTATTAAAGAAACAAACAAAATAATAATAATAACCGGAGTGAACAACCACTGGTCATTAATATCACTTAATATTAATGGACTCAATTCACCTATAAAAAGGCACAGACTAAGAGACTGGATAGGAAAACAGGATAAAACATTCTGCTGTTTACAAGAAACACACCTCAACCTCAAAGACAGACATCTACTCAGAGTAAAGGGTTGGGAAAAGGTTTTACAAGCAAACGGACCTAAGAAACAAGCAGGTGTGGCCATTCTAATATCTAACAAAATTGACTTCAAACTAAAATCAATCAGAAGTGATGGAGATGGACATTTTATACTCATAACAGGAACAATTCATCAGGAGGAAGTCTCAATCCTGAATATCTATGCCCCTACTATAAAGCCTCCTACTTATGTAAAAGAAACACTTCTAGAACTCAAGGCAGTCATCAAACCACACACACTAATAGCAGGAGACTTCAACACTCCTCTCTCACCAATGGACAGGTCAATCAGACAGAAACCTAACAGAGAAACAAGAGAATTATTGGAGGTATTGAATCAAATGGACTTAACAGACATCTATAGAACATTCCACCCAAATAGGAAAGAATATACCTTCTTCTCTGCAGCTCATGGAACCTTCTCAAAAATTGGCCACATACTGGGTAACAAAGCAAACTTCCACAGATACAAAAAAATATTAGTAACCACCTGTGTCTTGTCAGACCACCATGAATTAAAGTTAGAATTCAAGAACAGTGCTACACCCAGGAAGCCATCAATTTCATGGAAGTTGAACAGTCAACTACTGAATCACCCCTGGGTCAAGGAAGAAATAAAGAAAGAAATTAAAGTCTTCCTTGAATTTAATGAAAATAAAGACACAAATACTCAAACCTATGGGACACTATGAAAGCAGTGCTAAGAGGAAAGTTCATAGCACTAAGTGCCCACATAAAGAAAACGGAGAAAGCACACATTGGAGACTTAACAGCACACTTGAAAGCTCTCGAAAAAAAAGAAACTGATTCACCCAGGAGGAGTAGAAGACTGGAAATAATCAAACTGAGGGCTGAAATCAACAAAATAGAAACACAGAAAACAATCCAAAGAATCAATGAATCAAAAAGCTGGTTCTTGGAGAAAATCAACAAGATCGACAAACCCCTATCCAAATTAATCAAACGGCAGAGAGAGAACATGCAAATTAATAAGATCAGAAATGAAAAGGGGGACATAACCACAGACACAGAGGAAATTCAGAGAATCATTAGATCTTACTACGAAAATTTATATGCCACAAAGTTGGAAAATGTAAAAGAAATGGACATTTTTTTTGGATAGGTAGCATATACCAAAGCTGAACCAAGACCAGGTGAGCAATCTAAATAGACCTGTCAGTCGTGAAGAATTAGAAGCTGTTATTAAAAATCTCCCTACCAAAAAAAGCCCAGGACCAGATGGTTTGAAGGCAGAATTCTACCGGAACTTCCAGGAAGAGCTAATACCTATACTCCTTAATGTATTTCACAATATAGAAACAGAAGAATCACTGCCAAACTCTTTTTATGAAGCTACAATTACCCTGATACCAAAACCACACAAAGACACAACCAGGAAAGAGAATTACAGACCAAAATCACTCATGAACATTGACACAAAAATACTCAATAAAATACTGGCAAACCGAATCCAAGAACACATTAGAAAAATTATCCATTATGATCAAGTGGGCTTCATCCCAGAGATGCAGGGTTGGTTCAACATACACAAATCTATCAATGTAATCCATCATATAAATAAACTGAAATATAAAAACCATATGATCATTGCATTGGATGTTGAAAAAGCATTTGACAAAATTCAATACCCATTTATGATAAAGGTGTTGGAGAGACTAGGGATACAAGGATCATACCTAAATATAATAAAAGCAATATACAGCAAGCCGTCAGCTAACATAAAATTGAATGGAGAGAAACTCAAAGCCTTTTCACTAAAATCAGGAACACGACAAGGCTGTCCACTCTCACCATTCCTCTTCAATATAGTGCTTGAAGTTCTAGCAATAGCAATAAGACAACATAAGGGGATCAAGGGGATTCGAATTGGAAAGGATGAAGTTAAACTTTCGTTATTTGCAGACGATATGATAGTGTACATCAGCGACCCCAAAAACTCTACCAAAGAACTCCTACAGTTGATAAACACCTTTAGTAATGTGGCAGGATACAAGATCAACTCCGAAAAATCAGTAGCCCTCCTATACACAAAGGATAAAGAAGCAGAGAGGGAAATCAGAGAAACATCACCTTTCATGATAGCCACAAATAACATAAAATATTTTGGGGTAACTCTAAGCAAGGAAGTGAAAGACTTATTTGACAAGAACTTTAAGTCTTTGAAGAAAGAAATTGAGGAGGATACCAGAAAATGG